CAAACCAGGCCCGTTATTTCTAAGCATGACCGTGCCTAGAAATTGGGAGAAAGATAAATGCTTTATACAAGGACATCAAACAAATTCCACAGATGGCCATGATTGATAAACAAACTAAAATAAATGAGAATTCTTACAAACTTGGCAAAAGAAAAATCTCCTTGTGTAAAAGTCTGTCTTTGTAAGCATGTACGCTTTCACAGTTAATTCTAGCTTTTGGAAAACAATAAAGTTTTGAAGATATTTTCTAAATACAGATTTGTCTTATGCAGCAATAACTTTAAAACTGATCTTGCTGTAAAATTATTACGTACAATTTTATGATTCAGTGTTTAGGTGTATCTTTATGTAAAGCTGAATACCTACTAATAATTTTCAATTATGTTGGATTTCTCATGAGATGTAACCACTTAAAAATAGACCTAAAAACAATTTCTAAATTCATAATGAACACATAGAAGTTCTGAATACATACTTTTTAAAAACAAATTACGAAAGTACAAGTCAAACAACAAGAATGTGTAACCTAGATCACTTGAAGTTGATTGTTTCTTCTAAACTATAAACCAAAGAACAAGACAAATCATATATTTGCAAGATATATAAATATATTTGCAATTTAAAGCCAACAAACTGGCTGGGCAGGCTTTTTTCACATTTCCATACGAGCTATATTAACTTCTCTACACACACTTGTTCACAAACACGATTTTCAGAAGATGAGCTGTCTGGCAGGTTGTCATCAACTGCTTAAATTCACACTACATTTTCTGCTTTTTCATCAAAGATGAGTTGGGTTCTTTAAGTGAGGATAAGTGAAATTATTATGGCACAGACAAAGGAAAGAATTAAGAAAAAAGCTGCCTTGATAAAGTTCTTGATGAAAAATGTTATTGATTCTGCCTGCAGAGAAATCAGCTTCAATATGGCTACAAAAAGAACACATTTGCAGCCAGACTCAGAAGTGCACACTTAGGATCTAAAGTACACATGAACTAAGATGAAAGGAGGATCTTTTAAATCAATAAACATTCTGCCACAGGCAGGCAATAGCCTTCTTGATCTTCCACAGAAGATTTACACCATTTTAAAAATCTGAGACTATCTCCTTATCTAAGAAAAAAAAAAAAAAGTCAGACTGAATACATACTGAAAAGAAAAATGCTAAAAAAAAAAACCATGAAAAAACACAGAGAGAGGAAGATAAGCAAGCAGCACCTAACAGAGATTTCAGAAAACCATTTCCATGCATTTCAGAAGTTTAGAAGACAAGGGTCAAGAAACATGCCAAGAAAAAAACCTTGATGCAAGCACATTCTCCTAGAAAGAATGAGTAGCTCTTCTCCCCATCCTCAAAACATAAGGAAATAAATAAACAAACCAACAAAACCACACGCACACAAACACACGAAAACCCAACCACAACAAAACTGTGTGCCTGAAGTGAAAACCAGTTTGTCAAAATAACATCAGTGAAGGCTTTAAAGGTTTGGAATAACATTTCAAAATTGTTTTCATTTAATAGCATGCTACTATAAAAATAAGCCATGATACTTCTAAAATTATCTTTTGACATTACATTATCACTGTATTGTATACAGTATTTAATTAGTTAAAGATTTTAAGCTTTTAGTTATCCAGAGATAAAAAAATTTGTCTTATCCAGAAAGATATTTTTTCTAAACTCTGAAACATCAGCATTGCTGCACAGTTAGGAATAAAATATTTTCACAGCAGTAAATGCCTCCCAAAGCATGCTACACAAGCTAGTCAAATTAACATGTTGCCTATGTAACCACTCATATTCCCCATGTACAGTAAGCAAGGGAAGAATGTCTCAGTTGCACAATGTTAATCAATACATTTATAAGAAGTCATTTTTATAAGGCTATTAATGACAGCCTTCACCCCTTTCTGATGCTTTTTGGACCTTATGAAGACCTTACCAGTGCTCATGCCAACAATTCTCTGTCTGTGTTCTTCAGTTACATCAGTGATTTAGCAGAGATGGATTTTAAGTGAAAACATTCAAAACATTCAAAATCCCCTTTTTGATGTCTATGTGCTTTCACTAAATACCACTCTACAGGGGCACCAGGGTTGGAAATAGAATAGCTTGTTTCAAAAAACACAAGTGCTGAATTAGAGTTGCAGACACTGTTTTCTATTTTAAGTACCAGGTAAAGTGTTTCAATTGCTTTTTCCTCAAGAGTCAACTCCTCTCTTGTTTCAACAGGTCTTCAGATTGAGCCATATTCCAAATGCCATTTGGCAAGTTACTGCATCTCTACTGAGCACAGGAACACTGGGTACCTACTACAGATAAGGTTTTCAGAGATCTACTGGTAAGGCTGAAAGTGAAAGACTTCTGCTTAATCAGTTACTAACTTCAATGCTTCATACAAGAGGAAAGAAAAATAAAGCAACTGTGCCACCACTGTTAGTAAGCACATGTCTGAAGCCATCTGACTGAGGTGAATTGAGGAAAAAAGAACTTGTCTAACCTATATTTTAAAACAGCACCTCTTTGCCTGTCACTACCTTGCCTAATGTTGGCAATTACCAACATTATAAACTAAGGAATGTTTAGAACTGTGTTCCTATTGAATCTTTTTTACATTTTGTCTTTTTTTTTTCCCTTCCAAAAGCTCAGGAGAAGCAGGATCTAGAATTTAATTTGTCTGCACTCAGGTAGAGGATTATAAATGGTGTAATCACTAGTATCAAAAACTCTTGAGGCACAGAACAAAAACAGCACCTGATACCAGGCTGCTTAATAAAAGCAAAGTCTGTCTCAGACTTTTGTTACAGTGACACCTTGTGGTTACATTCGATTTGAGACCTCTTAACATTTTCAATTTTTTCTAACAGCTTTGAATAGGTTTTCATGACTTGTGAACAAGGATAAAGCACAAAGATGAAACTGCAAAACAAAAACGAAAGCACAAAAAAGTGAAAAGGATAAAAATACAAAAGAGCACTGCCTGTTTGAAGACCTTTGGAATTTTTAACATTCATTTGCTGAGGTCCCAGTGTCCCACAAGTTCTTCCCATGAGCGATGTACAGTAATGTCCTTAATTCTATATCTATTGTGGCTAATTCACAATGCTCCATACAATAAAAAAAATCAAAGTCACAGTAAAGGTTATAATAGACATGATGCAATAAATGACTACGCAAGAGCACTGGGCTGGTCTTAATTCATTGTATATAAGTTACAAGCATTTTACTCAACAACTGTCAGAAAGTTGCATCCTTTTCACTCTGCTAGTGTGAAAGAGACACTGAATTTGGTTTTTAAAATGGGTAGTGACTCAAAGAGTTAATTCAAGAGAAAACTGAAAAGATTTAAAGAATGTAAAAGATAAGAAGGCAACTATCCTTGCCAAATGTTTCAGGTCTAATTATCTCTTTATAATCTACATTTCATCAATTGCTCTACTATATTAGACAAACAGGCAGACCTTCAATCTGGCATGTTCTACTCTCTTGTTTTGAAAATGGTGTGTAAAATAAAATCACAGTCAATAACCTCCTGAATTCTCCATTACTCCTCAGTCATCCAATACAATGTTACCACAAAGCACTTTGCTTTATGACAAGCAGACAAATCGACATTGAAATAGAAAATCAATTTGGGACAAGTCTTTGGATAAGGCCATAGAATTGCTGTCCTTTTGAAGGAAGATTAAGAGAAGTCCCACTCTAACGCCCAAGATCTCTTCAAATCTTCTTGCTTACAGGAGGGAATAAAAAAACAAAAAAAAAGGCCTAGTAACAACCTGTCCATTTTCTACCAAGTGGGGGAAAAAAAAAAGAAAAACAACCTACAAAAAAAGCAACAACAACAAAAACAGAAACAAAATCAACAACAACAAAAAAAGGAAACCAAACAAAAAACCAAGTACCTATAAACTCCATGAGGCATTTCATAATTGTTAGATGATTTAACAGAGATACCTTTAAGCTTAGACTTTATCAGACATGTGACCATTTCAGAAAGAAAAAACAGTAACAGCAGAATCACAGAACTTACAGGGAAAAGGTGAAAATGCATTTGTCTGCATCACAAAAAATAAAACACCAATTACACTCAGAACAGATGACAAAAATGACAGGAATTCAGTTATTTCTGAAATGGCTCACAAGTAATCCACTATATTTTTTCCACATAGACAACTGTTTTCTGCAATTTCCTATAAAGCAGTAACCATCAGAGTAAGAAATCATTCTTTGGGGGGAAAAAAACCAACAACAGTGCTTCCCTTTGTTGAAGATTCCAGTAATTGCTGAGTGATTAAGAAGTCTGTCTACATAATAATTACTACACACAAGCCCTATATATAGGGTATTTCCTTTAGAAGGCGAAGTGTAATCACAACAGTCTCTTTGGAATATACAGAGATACTAGTTTCTCTATCAAGAAGATTAACATAGATTTTGCTTGGGCCAATTTGGTGTGACTACAAATCTCTTCCAGTATTCCCAGCACCTCCAGTAAAACGACAATATCAGCTCAAGAATGAGTAAGCTCATCCAGCTGCTTTGTGCTTCACATAACACTACTCGAACCTCCTACATCTTAATTCTCTCCTTTCTCTCTTCTGCAACTGTGAAAAATACTTTTTCAGTGCAACAACAGAAGACACGTGAATATATATGAAAATACATTTCCAAGGCATAAAACAAATATTTAAAAACATTTAAAAGGTTTTGACAGCCAACGAATGACGTTTACTTGTAAGCGAATTTAAAAATTAAAGAAAAAGAGAGAGAGAGAGAGAAGTACCAGAGATTTCAAAACAGGATATCTGAAATCAATCAAATGTAGTTATATCAAAATGCAAAAGTGACATTTTCTTTTGTTTGAAGATGGCTGATGAAAGCTGTGTATACCATACATTACCAGAAAGATGTAACATAGTAGCAAAACCCAGCAATTTTTCTGGTATCTGCATTATTTAATGACAGTCGTGCAACATTGCATTCAAGCACTAACCTGCAAACGCGGGCAGGAAAATACAGGTTCTGCCAGGACCGACAGAGGTATTTAGAGTGATCGATAACTCGAATCCAGTCTAACTCATCCATGGACACCTCAATGTAGTAGGAGTAGGACCTTTGGATTTTAAAACAAAGGATGGGTTAGAATATGAACAGCCACACCTTGGATATTAACTTCTTCAACTTCTTCTGGATTTCAGTCATGCTGAAAAGAAGGCTATTTGCTCTTACCACAATCCTGCATCTAAAATATCTAGAAGAGATCCTTATTCTAAACTAGCTTTGATACCAAATTCACATGCAGTTATGTTAAGAGACATTTTCAGAATGACTTGAAACATCCGAACACACAATCTGCAGTAATCAGGTGATCAAGTCAGACCATCACCTTAGAAATGCAATGGCAACTTTCAAATTCAGTGATATTTAGCCATAAAATAATTTCTATTCCATCTGCATGGAATAAATCTAAACTACCAGTGATGCAGATATTACTATTGCCATATCAATAATAACAATAATAATATCTCCCACAGAAAAATAAATAAATAAATAAAAAAGCTAGGGTGGCACAGAGACTAATGAAACTAAATACTAAACCACAAAACCACCATAATCTCTGTATTTTATGAACATAAGAAGTGTTTCAGTGAGAATTATTGGTGATAGGTGGATGGTTGGACTGGACGATCTTGTAGGTCTTCTCCAACCTTGGTGTTTCTGTGCTTCTGTGATGAAGAGGTTCACCCTCTCCGATTCTGCTGCCAATGATGGCTTGTTCTACTTAAGTTCAAAATACTCTTGAGTAAACTGTGCTAAGGAGAATGTTTTCCACAATCTCCACTCCCAGCTTCAGCAGCTGCTAGTTGATTTACATCTTGTAAATGAGAGGCAATTTTCAAGCTACCAGTACTCTAAAAAATTTCAAGAGAACTACTCACTATTTTCACCTCTAATACTTTTCAAAATTTCATTGAACACTGAGTTTACTTGGTTGATCTGTGACAAATAGTTAAATATTGTAAAAAGTTGTTTATTGCACCTTTTAAAGTTTTACTTTTCAATCTTTCCAAAAAGAAAACATAAAACTTCAGCTGAACTCACTTCAAACAATTAAATAGCTAAAAAAAAAAAAAAAATTGTTTTGAATGATAACTACAATTGATATTCTAAATAAATTTTAATTTACAAAAAAAAAAAAAAAAAATCAGTAGAACATCAACGTTTTCTGTTCTAAAGTAACACAACCTGCTCAAGAAAACAAAACTTTTGCAATTTTCATTTGTTAGTCTATAAGTACAAAAAAAAAAAAAAGAAAGATAATGATGTGTTAGGAGTACAAATAGCATGTTCTATTGTTTTTTAAAAGAATATTGCTTATGAATACCTGCATTAGATATTTTCTAAATTAAAAATTTCTTGTGGTGACATTTTAAAGTGCTTACAGCAAGAGCAGGGTTGGTCTCTTCTCACTGGTGACAGGACGAGGGGAAATGGCCTCAAGATGTGCCAGAGTAAGTTCAGGTTGGATATCAGGAAAAACTTTACAGAAAGGGTTGGTAAGCACTGGAATAGGCTCCCCAGTGAGGTGGTTGAGTCACCATCCCTGGGTGTGTTTAAAAACTTTGGATGTGGTCCTCAGGGACACGATTTAGCAGAGGGTTGTTAGAGTAGTATGGGTAGGTCGTGGTTGGACTCGATGATCTTTAAGGTCTTTTCCAACCTGAGTGATTCTATGATTCTACACCAAACAAACTCTTATTCCCTGAATTACCATCAGAGATGTTATCTCTTGACAATTTTGATACACTGAAAAAACTCTAAACATTCTTCCAATGTGGGATGAGTAGGCCTGCATAAGAACTAGAATACCCAATTTTACATTAATAGTTGGAAATTAAATTACAAATAGAAAACAAAACTGCTAAAAGTATTTAAATTACGTAAGCTTTCAATAAAAATATACTTAATGAAAACAAAGAATATGCCTGACATGTCAGGAGATATTTTAAGACCGCTTAACATACGTAACAACGATTATACTTAAAAAACAGTGTTTTCAAATAAAACTTGTTGTTGTCATCCCCAACATGGTATCATGCTGTTTTCATAAAATCTTCATAAACATTCTGCATTCTGTTATCACAAGTGAAAATGCCTTCCCCTCTTTAAGTCAACTTGGCACCTACCGACTGTCTCTGTCCCACAGGAGTATTCGTATGTGGTTGATTATTGATGGCTGGCCGAGTTTGATTTCGATACCAGAACGGCAGTCATCATCAATTGGGTGTCGAGAGAAGCCGTGATCCAAGTCATAGTTCTGAGTATCCCCATCTAATAAAGCAGACTTCAGCTCCCCTTTTACAACCTGGGCTCCATACTTCATTGTTGCAATATTTTCCCCTGGTACTAAGAAGAAAAGGAAATTACTGTTTAATATTTATACTCATATCATGCAAGTTAGATGTTCTGAACATCAACTGTATTCAGTTAAAATGAAGATTGACTGCCATCATCAATTCTCCAGTACTGGTTACAAACAGATGCTCAAAGAAAGAATTACAGAAGGAGGGTCAGCACAGAGCAATACCTCCTCTGTAAACCCATTCTTTCCAGCAATCCACAGTTCCATTTCCTAAACCAGAAGATACTGTTCTTTGCTGTTTTATACAGAGATGTAAATTTTAGAAATTATTTTCACTGTTTTAATAAAAGCTATTTTATAATTCCACAGTATAGGATTATGACCACGAAGTAATAATGCATCTTGAAAATAGATTTTAGAAATTCTGCATCTTCCATTTCATTTGATGCCACCTAGATCTCACATGATATAAGTAGTGATCACTGCTGAGTATACTGTATCTATATTCTTAGGGTGTTTCGTGATTTTATGGAATTTTAATGTACCTTCCCTTATTCAACTGTCATTTTCCACTCGAATAGAAATTTTTGGACTAGTCAGTCTCTCCTTGCAATCAGTCTCTCACAATCTCTCTCATCACTTTGGGGCCTTTCTTTCTGACTTTTTGCCTTAAATTCAATTTTTAAAATTTATTTTTATTTTGAAATAGAAGGAAGCTAAAACCACATGAAATGCTCAAGACATGACAGCTAAATGAACCAGAGTAAAAGACTATGAAGTTAACAGAAAACTTTTTAATATGTTGGCTCAAAGCTAAAGAAGCCAGTAAAATAAGCCTCCTTTGTCACCATTTCAAAGTCTCCCATCAAGAAAACTGGTGATAATAACAGCTACCTACAAAGCAATACATTGATCAACTACTCTGTTAAAAAGACATTTTTAACAGCCTTTTTTGAGGAGAGAACCTGGAAAATATGGCACTGGTGTTAAAAAAAAAAAAAAAAAAGTCCACCCCAAACTCTTCAAATATGTCAGCAAGAGAAGTATGAAATTTAACAGGATATTAATTAACCTAATTGGTGTATCTAAGGAACATTCAGTGGTACACTTGAGCATACAACGTTTAAAGAGGTAAAAATTTAACCACACTGTATTGTAGTATTTCTACACAACAACTATAAAAGAGGTAATGCACAACTATGAAATTGCAAGTGGTCATCAGTGTTCCTACAGAGAAAAACCCAAGTGTCTGAACTAGTACTAAAACAACATAGAAAATCAAATTTTTAGAAAGCTGTGATTTTGGCAAAGATAGAAATTCTGAGATTACAAACATCTTGTTATTGCAATGTAAGGTGGCAGGAAAAGGAGTCACAAGGTACCATTCCACTTTGAAAAATGTATTTTCTGGACAGTCAACAGAATGTCTTGTATTTATTTTTACAGTATCAAAGTATTAACTCAGATTTTTAAATATTAAGTATTAACTTCTAAAGAAAAACAAATGGGAGATGCAATTCTAGGAAATCTGTTATCTTTTTCAAGGCTTACTCTACGTGACTGACAGACTACAGGGCAAACTGTCAAAGAAAACTTCATTCTTTGCTGTGGGGCAAATAGTGTATACATCATATACTACATACAAAGTAACAGTATCTTCAAAAAGCTCAGCATTAGATATTCTTGTTGAATTAACAGTGAGCAGAAATACGAGAAACCAAACAAAAGGCTTTTCATGATTTTTGTTTTTTTTTTCCTCCCAAATTGTTTCCATTAAGCAATTTGGAAAATCTGTTTATGCTATTTGGGCAAACATGTCAATAGTAACAAAAAATCAAAAACATTGGAGAAAAGATGGATATCTCATAAACAAACCAGCATCAATGTAAAACCATTGAAATTCCATTTAGCACACAACAAATCATTTTTCCCCAAAAAGATTTTTTACTAAAATAACAATTCCTCAAGGAAAATACGTTCTTAAAGCAAAGCACATATTCGAGCAATTCCTGAGACACAAACCTAGAAAATATGCTGACTAACGTTACTTCCCACCTGAGGAATAAAAACTCACAGAACAAGTTAACCATACCTTCCAGACAGCCACAGCACAGCAGTCACTAAAGAGGCAACAAAACATAAAAATGCTTACTTAACATGCCCCTGTAGTTGAGATCCATGTCCCGACTTTCAGAACGAATCTTAATGGCATCTAGGATGGCATCAGGCGACAACAATCCGGAAGGTCTGACAACATTTAGCAGCTCTGTTAGACTCATTAGTGGCAAACGCACTGCTTGCATGATTTCAGCGTGGTTTTCCTTGGGGTTATGTTTACACCAATTCATCAAGGCTTGAAAAATATCCTTCTCAGGAGCTGCAAAAGAGTCCCTCAGTACGATACTCAGAAGAGCAGCCTGGAAGAACGTAAAAAAAAATACAAGGGGGGAAAGAAAAAAAAAAGAAGTTTTTGTTTGTTTCTTTTTTTTTAGACAGATCATTTGAACTTGTAGTTGTTAAAAATAAACTCCAAAAGAATGACTATTAGAAGCAGCACATAGTAGAAGCAAAAGTCCTCTTAAGATTCCTGATATCCAATTTAGTTTCTCAGATTAAGAAATAACAAAAAACTCCACATTAGTCTACAGTAACTGTACTAACAGTATTGCTCAACAAGACAATCTTCAGTTTCAGTAGTGTTTTTATGCCTTTAGTTTCTTACTGAAGATCCAATAAATCTCTAAGATAAATATTAAACAATATTATTAATCCACTATGAGAAAGAAGATGGAATGGAAATGTGGAAAAAAATCAATTTTATTACAAATTATATTAAATTACGTAAATAAATTTAAAGTAATAAACAATATAAGAACTAATTTGGGGATTTAGTAGTACAATATAAAACATTCCTTTAAACTTAGACTGACATAAGATGACTGATGCAAAAATGTCAACTGAGGGTTGGAATTCCTTTTTCAAACCCTTTCTAATTACATGGGTATTTTTATCCCTTCTCTTTTGGGACAAAGTTAGTATCAACAGGTAAAACCCTCAGTGACTCCCACAAGTGCAAATGCAAATAATCCACAGATAGCAAAATGTGAACAAAAAAAACTGAAGGGATTCTGGCTTCCATTTAACAAGCAAAATAATTAGAAGTCTGCCTCAGAAAGGCACAGATCTCTTCTGTACGGCAGGATTGGTTACAACAAAGATTTCAGAAAGTATATGCCTTCAGAACTCAGATTTAATAAGCTCAGTATGACAGACTACCGTAGGGAAAAAAACATTCTTTCCCTACACAGCTAGCAAGTTAGTCAGCAAAGCAGAAGCATCTTGCACTTATTCAAGGAACTGATCCATCACAGTTTTTCCACTAACGCTTTTAACACTTTTTTCTTTATTTGTTCAAGTATAATTAAGCTATCTTTCATTCAAGATACTTTGCTGCTTCACTTGAACACTACTTGAAAACATTAAACCACTATTATGCCCAGCTCAAAGACCATTCCAGAGAATGTGGAATAATTCAATAGCACAGAATTGCCTGAATCTTACACAAATATTTATGCATCCAACAACAACAAATATATTAGAACAAAATTAAAAAAATACACCCTGCAATACCACCATATTACATGATTTAAGGCTGCACAAATAATCAGCAATATAAATCACATGAAGCCTCGGGATACTGCAGCCTACACTGTGGAAAACTGCCTATGACAGAGATTGCCTATATCAAGAAATTAATAAAATGGAGTACCTGCTATCTTCAACTCTTTACAACTACTGGGCAACATTCAGAAACCAAGTAATACTATTCCAAGGACAGAAAAAAAAAAAACAAGGTAAAATTAAGTTTTCTGGACCCAGCTACCAGAATACTCTTGTTTTTAGCTACAGTGAGTGGTCACAACTAAATTTCTAAAAAATTCAGAATGGATCGCCAAGGTTTTTACTTCATCTTGGTCTGAATACTTCCAGTATTCAGTCTCAGTCCCATGAATACCAAGAGATAACTGTTAACAAACTTACAAGCTTGTATTTTACACCATTAGTATTTAATCATGAAATGTATGCAAAAAAAATTAATAATACTGAAGAAAAATGCACCATACCTTAGAAAGTGACAAGAAGCCTTCACTGGAGAGTACCTCCTGAGCATTTCTATCCATGAACATACAGCACATACAAGTCAATTTGGGAAGGGAATAAAGACTGGCAACATCAAATGTCATACAAACATTCTGAATATTAAGTATGGTGCAAAGATACTCAGATGTGGAATCCTCCAGTTCTGGAAATCCATACTTATGTGCCAGGCTTAGGAAGTCTAGGAGGACCTCCTCCTTCTCATCTCGTAGTGTGGCACGACCAGTGTAAATATATTTCATCAGCATGGTAAAAGCTTCTGCAGTTGTGTCCTGAAGAGGAATTTCTGCTTCAGGCTGAGATTCTCTCATTCCACCATACAGCAATGCTCTACAAAGAAGATAAAATTTAAGAAATTTACAACCTAGAAATATCTGTTTTATTAACAAAAACAAACAAATAAACAAAAAACATACAAAAGATAAACAAAATGTCAAGTAACAACACAGGGGATGCAAAGGGGATGCATTTCCCTACAGCTACAAAAGAAAAAACCCTATATGTCATTTAAAGTACAGCTGACCACAGAAAACAGTGCATAGGGGAGAATAATATTCTAATGCATCATGCTTTTATTCTATGGAACAATTGCTCCATCTCTACTTTGAGCAATAGTTGCAAAGCAGAAACTCAGTTGGATTTTCTGTTGCTACTGATTTTTTTTGTTTGTTTTTGTTTTTAAATAGTGTTAAAAGTGAGGAAGAAAGAAAAAAGAAAAAATGGCAAAAAACATGTGAAACAACTAGTTCATCACCATAACAGCAGTGGTGGATTAAAGAAAGGAATAAAAGATCAAGAATCCTGGGATTTGCTAAACCCAACATGAGACAAGCCTAAAGATGTTCTGAATCTTTAGAAGGAAAAAGAGAACTAAATACACCCATAATCTGTTGGATTTTGTTTTGTTTTTAAAGTGTGGTATAGAGTTTGAACACAATTTGCTCTCATGCTGCAGTTTTGTTAGAGGGGTATGTTAGTAACTAAATTACAACCTAAATTCATAATCTTTTTCCAGAAAAGTGATTCCATTTAGAGTGAAAAGCCCCAGATCTTCAGAATGAGATGCATTAGTATTATCCCTAGTTTTAAAATATTCTAATATGAGTCAAACAGATCTTTTCAAATACTTGACTTCAACACATCAAAAGTAAACTTCTGATTAATACAGTCCACGGAAGCACACTATCCATGCTCTGAGAAATCAAAAAATTTTACAGCAGAATTTTTCTGTTCCAAAGTTATTTTTCTCCTGAATTTATGAAAATAACTTCAAAAGTCCAATTTAATGAAGGTCAAAAGAATAACATCATGACATGGTATTTATCTTCTTATATCTGGACACAATGACTTGATGTGCTGGGAAACATTCGCACAGAAAAGGTCACACTCAATGGACAGATGATTACACGCTGAAAAGTTCATAGAGAAACAATGTTTATCTTATCTGCATGAAAATTTGCAGTGAGCCCCACAAAAGCTGTGCTTCACCTGAAATAATGGCACCTCGCAGCCAGGATCACTCTGTGTGCTGGAAAACGTTTCTTTTCCACAATGAAGGTAACATCACTATATTCTTCCCCATTCATCAGAGCGCCGATGTGCTCTGACAGAATGTGAACGTGGTCAATCTCACCAACAGCTGTGTAAGGACGAAGCGGATGGCTGTTACTCATCTTGGAGGGATGATGATATTGATAGCCTACAGAGAGAAAGAAAATAACTGCTATAAAGGGCATATTTAGAAATAGCAATGATGAAAAATGCAGTTATGAAAAAAGAAGGGAATAGTGAAAGCTCTCTCTCTGATTCTCTCATATATTACGAGGAAAACAAAACAAAGAGGTTTTCTATTAAAGGTAATTTATAACAGGACTCAGGGCAGCTCCCATCAAGAACTCTAGTCAAAAATATTTCAGAGAATTCCATCATCTCGTTCCTCCATCAATCCATTTACTTAAAAAAAACTTAAAACAAAATGAACAAAAATTAAACAATTTTAATTACAATCACCATTATAAATAATATTATTTGTCTGAATTAAAACGCAAATAATTACAGAGAAAAAAGTCAGCTGGCCAACTTAATTAATCTCAACTCTGAAGCCTCTACTAAAAACAGCAATGAGTAAAACCAACAGTGTTTGTAATCCATCCTTGAATGATTCCAATCAGCTTTCTAGAACTGGAAGAACATAACTGCTCAAAGTTATGCCTGATGTTTTAACAGACTGTCTCAGTGTCAAGAGCATCCAGAGGACTATTTCAGTCTTCAATCAGGTTTTCTTGTCAACTTTCAGTTTACTTTTCAACAAAAAAGGTCAGCTCCCTCACATAATAATCACCTGTATTTTCAGTATCACCTCCTGAGCTACAATGGGCACATTCTTAGTGCTAATGTGAGATGGTGTGTACAGAAAAATGAAGCCATATACTGCATACAGCTCACACATTAATCTTCTATGTGAAATACTCATGACATGAATATATTTCAAAATGTGGCTAAAAATGCAAACAAAAAATGCATGTCTGTTTCCAGGCATTTTTACAGAACAAAGAAAGGAAAACACATGGATAGGGGTAAAGAATTGTATGTGCTTCAAAACACCTGGAAACTCTTAATACAAAATGAAGATATCACAGAAACACCATTTCAAAGAACTTCAAACTAGAAAAAGTGATACTGGCAGCAAATCAGACTGGAGGAGAAGATAGCATAGTAAATGGTAAATTGATCTATGAAAATCACAATATGAGTGGGAGCAGAACCCAGCTTTCCTCAGGCTGTCTCTGCCATCTGAATTAGAAGCTGTATGCCCACAGAGGCATTAATGTGGAACAAGCACTACTGGCCAAGGAACTTGAGGCAGTCTAGCTGTAACACAGAACACTGTATGAAGTTATTCTCCTACACTGACATAAGAATAAATTATTTTTTATGTTTGTTTTCTTTTCCATAACTGAATGTTTCCTCCATCTGCATTGGTTTATTTACATTTATGTAAAGCAACAGTGCACCAAGCAGATCTATGCAACAGATCCAATTCTAGTAATGTTTGCTTTGTAACAAGCAAGATTAACTTAATTCACATCAATCAAGATGCAACAAGCAACGGTATTTATCACAGCATAATTACTTGAGAATGCATAGACAACAGTGAAATGGAAATGTTCTCAAAATGTAAAACCCTTTATTACATTAAAGGAGCAAACAAAAGGCTGAGTTTGTTACTCAGCTGCAAATCAAAAACATCCATATTCCTTCATACTTTCCATATCTTTTAAGTCTGTAAATACTGTCGTTGATCTTCATTGTTATGCACAATAGCCAGGCAACCCAATTACATACAATTACATGCGTATTATCAAACAAAATTTACTCTCTCTCTCGCACTAGTTCCACTTATCATTAATTAGAGAATTTCTTTTAAGATGCTACAAGCATGTATTAGGATAGGCACATTTTGGTTTTAAAATCTATTTTACTTCCATTTTCTCTACATTTTACTTTTTTGTTCATCCAGGTTTGGGTTTTTTTCCTGTAAAATTGGGAATAGATACTGCTTGAAGAAAACTGGGAGACAATAAAAGTGCTAAAATAAGGAAAAGCCATTGGCTTCATGCTCATTTTGTTTGCTGCTGCTGTAGGTTTTGTCATATGCCTACAGGGCAAAGGGTCCAAGAGAAAATTGTTCCCATTTCACATAAATGAATAAAGAAAGAAATATGTACCCTGCTAAGGGTACATAAACCTACCTCTAAACAAGCACAAAGTCTGAGCTGGGGGCACTTGCTAATAAGCTGATAATGACAGTCTGATATCAACATCCTGGACTTAGGCAGGTGATGATGAAAGTAGAAATTTCCAAGCCCTTTTGTGTCAGATGCAAACTAAGTTTGTTTCATAGATGTTCAACGCTCCCCATGCTGCTGGCATGATGCATTATTCTAGATTACTAGTTTCAAACTGCTCACCGAAACTGGGGGATACAAAGAATAGCTGCAAGCCCTGGCTGAACAGCCTTTCAAATGCTCAGTGATGCAGAGGGTTGAAAACTTACAAGTCTATGAGAGCTATGCACATACTTTATATTCTTTCCGTGGGTAACACTTGTTGTATACTGAAGAACTCAAATTTATTTACCCATCCACTACACATTTCTAATGCAAGTTTCATCAGTTTTTCACACAAAGCAGCACTGTATGAGAGCCATCTTGTCTTTGAAATGTAGAACCAAGAGACCTCAGATCCTCCCAGACTGGATTATTTTGAGGTGTTCATAGAGCCAGCCCTTGAAGAGACCTGCACATTTCTTGTTTGAGGAAGTGGATAGTAATATACTGGTTTAGTTGTGGCGAGTTGCACAGTTTACCTGTGTAGCTGAACTTTACAACCAGCATTCTTGGTTGTAACTCAAAGTTTTAATACAGTTAAAAAAAGACAGAAGCTGCCTGGAGCTCAGCAAAATCCTTTATGATGAACTCTCCAGCATCTTCTGTAATCACTGACATTCCATTCAGATTCAAGCCTTTGTTCTTCCATGTGATCAGAGAAGAACATTTAACAAATTGCAGATAAAAGGCCAAGCCATTTATAAACTTCTTACTAGCACCATAACCTAATTTCCAGGAGCTATTAACAGCTAATCAGGTGCTTCAGAAGTCAGCTGCTGCAGCTTTGTTCATGACACAGATATAGGTTAAGTACAACAATCTTCTCAGTAAGTTTGAGGAGCTATTAACATTGAAATGATTTTAAACTGCACCTATGATGTCAGAAAAGTTTACAAATCTCTTCTCTTCAGAATTGTAACAGAAGACCCACATCCTGGTGGCCATCTTACTACTAAAGATGCAAAAAATGTGGCCTACTATTTATAGTATAACATAACATGCAATATTATACACCATGTCAAGGTTAGAAAAAACACACCCAGTCAGTTTCCAGCTTGCTATATTTCCTTTCTGATAAATAATCTGTAACACGTCATAGAATGCAATACTGTGATCTACAACATACAGCAACAAAAACCACAATGACTTCTTGACTAAACTGCAACAAAGACCAACACGATGTCACCTCCCCTGCCCCATTTGAGCTATCATTAAAAACAGCCTTCTGAAAAACAGAGCTGTTTCACTGAAAAAGGGGAAGAAATGCTTTTATACTATGCAGAAAAAAGGATATAAGAAATTGTCCATGAATATGTTCAAATTTCTTTTTCTTTATATTTCACAAAAAAAAAAAAAGCCAAACACCAAAACTTCTGGAAGTTTAAAAACAATTATATGGAAAAAAAATTAGCAAGTAAACAGACAAATGACAGAATTAAAAACTTTGTGAAATAAGTCCAGATTATAAATATGGAGTTAAAATTTCACATCCCTGAAACAACTGCATTCCCATCTGGTTATATCACAGTAATACAGCCCTTGTTAGAATTACACAGAGAATTTTCTTAAATGGTATTTATATAAAAATATTATTATTCTCGTAAGTCCTGGTACAATAAAATAACATCTCTGGATTTGATAAATATTTCAATGTGTACAGAAAAAAAAACGTAAGCACTTTGATTCTGTCAGAACCACAAAGCTCCTTTGGACTTCTGCGTAACAGTAACAATATTCACAGGCAGAGTAAAAACTGTGACAAGGAGAAAAAGCAACCAAAAATAACACCCATATTCCAAAAGAGAAATTGTTCACATTGCAGTACGTTCAGGTTGCAAAGAATTTCAGTTTACATATGTAAAGCTTTCATAAGCACCTGGAGTAAAACAAATAATTCTATGGCTTGATGCAAGCCCACAAAACTATGAAAGTCTGTCCACTGTTTCTTTTAGGTTCACAGGAGAAAGGACTTATGTTTTGTTTATGTATTGACAGATGTGATATTTAGAATTTAGTTGCAAATATCATTAATTTACTCTGTAACATCAATGTCAGGAAAAATGTAATTCAGCACTGAAGCACAAGTCAAGTAATACTTCTGAGGAGAAAAAGTATCCTCCTATCATTAATTCTCATCCTTTTACTTTGATATAGTATTTCCAGCCTTTGTTCTGTACAGTTCTGAGGTTTTCCATAATATTACTCAGAGAATCAAGCTACCCTACATTACAAGGCACCAGAAAACAAGTGTTAAAAGGGCCTTTAGAAAGAAAATGGAAAAAGATGCTGTATTTATCTTAATGTCCTCCTACCTTGACAAACACACAAAATCCAAACAAAAACAGATTCAAACACCAGGAAGAAAAAGTTTTAATCAAGATAATCCTTAAGCAGAAAGCGTCCTGCATTTTGGAACACCATTGATTAAACATGTCCTCAACTTTTCCCATTTCATTAACATACCATTATGGTATTTAGAGAAATTATGTCTCATACATAAGTCACAACGCTACAGAACAAAAAAAGTTACCCACAACACTACAACATTTTAAAACACACTGACTTACATATGAACAACTCACAGTGACACCTCATTCAAAAGCTAACTAAACAAGTATAATACTCCTGGTATTATTGGAATTAATCTGTATGAGATCTCCACAATGCACATAATAGTTCAAAAAAAAGTAAATTCTAACTTTAATTAAAATCTTGGTATCACATTAACTAACATATTAATAACTACCTGTGCGTGTCCAAGGAACTAACTGGCCCTACTTATCCAATACCTGATTATAACATAATCCACACAGTATGAATTCAGAGATTCAGAATGTGAAAAGCCAAATAAATGGAATTCCCAGAACTTTTAAGTAATCTCCAACCCTTCTTTGGGGAAATAATTAAAAGAAAACTGGATGTTAATTCTATTTACCACGCCTTTCAATGACAGCATCAGTACCAAAAACATTTTTACTTCAAACACATGGACAGTTACACACTACTACACCTTCCAGTTCCCAAGCATAGTTGTGCTACTGTTTTGCATTTTGTTTAGAGAGATATTTCTCTGATAGGACAGCAGGAATAAATTCAGCTACATACCAAGAACAGTACAGCAGGATTTATTAAAAATCACGTGAAATCAATATTAGTGCACTTAATGTGATATGATTAAAATAGCATATAACTAAATTCTTAAGTTTCTCAGGAAAATATCACAGAATCACAGAATTGTAGGGGTTGCAAGGCACCTCCAGAGATCATCGAGTCCAACCCCCCTGCCAAAGCAGGTAATATATTGGTGTACTTACCAGTAAAGCTCTCTGAAGGTCTACAATGGACGTAGCCTGTGGGCAGGTGACCAACTTCCTGAAAATTAGGGTTTTTTGCCATTCTGAACAACTGACAGGTGGAACAGCAAACTCATAGAAACACTAGTCAGCAACATCCAGCTGCATAGTAGCAACTGTACCATATTCCTGAAAGAATGCATGAAACATATCATTAAGAATAGGTGGCATATAGCAATAAACGTTAAGAATCCTTCAGTGTTCTATGAGAAATCTTTAAGTACCATTATACCATAACCATTAGAAGTCTCTTTAGAAAAAAAAAATAAAAATTGACAATACATTTTTTTAACCAGAAAAGCAATAATATATCATAATTCATTTTCTCATTTGAAGGCACAGAAAGTGATCACATTGTTTCTCCATATGAGTCTCTTAATTAAACCACGTCTATGCAAAGCCTGTCATATAAACATTATTCCCCAAACATCCAAATCCCTGTAACTGGTCTTGTCTAGCCCCAAGTGGTGGGTGAGTAGCGCTGGGTTTTGTTTGATTGTGGGGTTTCAGGTCTTGGGGTTAAGATAGGGATGTCATCCAGAGGAACCTGGACAGACTTACAAAGTGGGCCCACAAGAACTTGATGAGATGTTGCACTTGGATTAGGGCAATCCCACATTTGTCTAAAGACTGGGAGAAGAATTCCTTCGGAGCAGCTCTGCTGAGAAGGACTTGAGGGTCCTAATGGACAAAAAGCTGGACAAGAGCCAGCAGTGTGTTCCTACAGCCTGGAAGGCCAGCCGTATCCACAAGCTGCTTTAAAAAAGGGGAGGCCAGCAGGGAGAAGGAGGTAAATGCCCCTCTCTGCTCTTGTGGCCCTCGCTGTCCTTGTGAGGCCCCATCTGGGATACTGCATCCAGGCCTGGGGCTCTCAGCACAAGGAAAGATGCGGAGCTGTTGGAGAGTCCAGAGGAGAGCCACAGAGATGATCAAAGGACTGAAGCATTTCTCCTATGAAGAAAGGCTGAAGAAGTTGAGCTTGTTTAGCCTGGAGAATTCAGGGCTCTGGGAAAACCTCACTGCAGTCTTCCAGTACTTGAAGGAAGCTTATAAACAAGAATGAGACCAACATTTTAGGTATAGAGAGAATGCTCACCTTAAATCTTAAAATGCAAACAAAAAATTCAGTGACAGCAGCACAGGGTTTTTGGGACAGGTCTATGCGCTGTGCTTTACAAACAGTGCAAGCAAGGGGCACTTCTGGGAAGGTATGATTACTGCTGCACTGAGAAAAATTTAACAGTCCAGCTTTTTAATTATTTGATAACACAATGATTTAAGTCAATAGCTATTTGAGTGAATCATAGCAGGGCATAATCTGCAGTAGTACTTGTACTATGAACCCAGTAGAGCTGACAAAACACTACGTGCTATTATCATCAGGCAAACACGTTGAGCTAACTTCAGAGGAAAGCTACAGCACAGCACGGACAAGCACTGCGGGCAGGCAATGCGGAACGCAGGAGTGCCACACGCTGAGCATCTGCCAAGGTCACACCCGGAGCAACTCGGGGCAAAGCGAGCCCGGAGCCGCGGTTCCTCACTGAGGGCTCTCAGCCGGCAGTCACCCCGTGCCCGCGCAAACGCCGCTCAGCGGACAGCTCCCAGCGAACTCAGCACTTCCGCGCGGAACCCCCGCGCCAGCCGCTCCCTCAGCGCACCCGGGTGCCGCAGAGCGCTGCGCTGCCGCCGGGCCCGGGCAGCCGACGCCGGCGGGTACGACCCGGCATGGCCGCTGAGGGGCCGAAGCCCGCCGCAGGGAAAGCCCCAGGAGCCGCCCGGCCACCACGGGCACCGCTCAGGCGGGAAGCACGCCACAACTCTCCCAAACACCCGACCGCAACCATCCGATCCGCTCACCGGCCTCCACGACGACCGGACCTCCAACCTTCTCAACCCGGCGCCGCCGAAACGTCAGGCGCCGCGATGACGCCATCAGCAACAGCCGCCGTCCTCCTGCGTGCTGACGTAGCGCAGCGGGCCGGGTCTATGGACGGCGGCGGGACTACAGCGCGCCTCGGGAATGGGGTATTCGTTCCGACAAAGCTCCTAAAATAGGAACTGCTATTCACATTCCCCTCTTTCTCTTCTGCCGTAATTCTGAATACACGCTGCCTTTCCTCAGCTTGTGTCTGCCAGGCTCCTGCAAATCGGCTTGTATGTCCTCACATCGCGGTGAGGCAGTGGCACAAGCTGCACAGGGAGGTGGTGCAGTCACCGTCCCTGGAGGTGTTCGAGAGCCGTGTGGCTGTGGCACTGACGGACATGGTCAGTGGGCACGGGCTGGTGGTTGGACCAGATGGCCTGAGAGGTTTTTTCCAACCTTAATGGTTCTGTGATTCTACGTTCTGCTTCTTGAAATTAGCAGAACTTCTGTTTAAGAGGAGAATGCAAATTTGTCTCTACTCCCATCTGGAAAAGCACTACTGCCATTCAACTCAGTGCTTTATTTAGCAGGGAAGAAAAAAAAAAATAAAAATAATAATAAAAAAAGCATTACCTTGGAAGATGCAAAATTAGGATTGGCTATAATCAACACAAACTGTAAATTTCACAAAATCTCCCATATTAACACTAAACAGGGAACATTCAGTTGGGGCTAGTGCTTCTTGTGTAGCTGTCCACTGAACTACACACCCTCAGACATACAAACATGCAGTTTACAAACTATTCCTCTTAATTACTGGATTCCATATAATTGTGTCAATAGCGTTTCCAGTCACACCTGTGCTTTGAAGTGTCATGAAACACATGAGTAGAATACTGTATGTAGATAAAATACAAACTGCTCAACTCTACAAGGGTAAACGATGGCAGGACAAGGAGAAATAGTGTTGAGGGAGGGAAGACTTAGATTGGATATCAGGGGGAAGTTCTTTACCAAAAGATTGGTGAGGTGCAGGAACAGGCTGCCCACAGAGGTTGTGGAAGCCCTGTCCTGGAGGACAGGGAGGTGTTCCAGGCCAGGTTGGATGGGGCCCTGGGCAGCCCGGTATAGTATTAGATATGGAGGCTGGCAGCTTTTCATGCAGGACGGTTGGTGCTTGATGATCCTTGAGGTCCCTTGCAACCCAACCCCTTCTATGAAACTACTTTATTAATTTACATGCTTGTAAAACGTTGAGATTTTCCTTACCAATAAATTTATTATAAAGCTTTAGACGTTGCATCTATATTTATCAAATAGTTTCAGACAAATTCACTCAGACTAGCATTAGTCTAAGTAACCTCTACTCACAATCTACTGCAAGATTCTGCAGTCAGCATTTGCGCTTCAGCTGAGTTCTACTTCACCTTAAGTTCCTTATTTCAGAACAAGAGCATTAGAAGGGATAAAGTTTATTAATGAAAAAATATATAAGCTGCAAACAAGAGCTCTATCTCATCCCATTTCTACAGCTCTCCTTCTTGGCTCAACTCACATGCAAGGAGCTCCTAACTTTGAAAGATATCACACTAAAGCTATACAACAATAGTCTTCAATTTAGAATTTTCTTAATTGCTGCTGTAAGATAGTATGAAATATTGTGTATGTCTTTTTCAAAGTAAGGTGAGGTTTCCTTGGCTGAGTCACCCTGAGCCAAGCTGAATGTCCACTAAAGGGATCGGTCTTATTTACTTGTTCAAGAAACTGAGAAGCCTTGAAATCCTTAATTCTGCTTAACAAACTTGGGATAAAGCTGACCCAGCATTTAAGAACACCACCATCAATTTTTTGAGTAATAAGTAGACTGCCTAGGATTGGGCACAACATCAGAAGTGCCACATCTAGAGGAAGTTGGCTGAGATTGTGTAGTGACAGCTGTTAAGACTGCTCAGTTTCTCAGATCTTGCTATGAAAAGTTGTAACTACATCCTCCCTATCATCTCCCTAGCATATAAGGGAATCATCAACTACACAGAGACAAGATAGAGGACAGGCTAAGTATTCTAGAAATACAGCAAGGCACACAGAATGCAAACGTGAGCTAGCTGCAGAAAACAGTAAGGTGTTACAAACTGAAAGTCAAGACTGTATATGCATTACACCTGTAAGGTGTACCTACAGGACAGTACATGCTTAAGTAGAGACCACCCAGAAAATATTACTCAAAATTTAATTTGAAGTATCTAGTTGCTTTTATGATGAGTTGCTTCATAAATCAAAAACAGATGATCTTCTGAGTTACTGTTTCTACCTTCCAATAAATCCATGGTTGTTTGTACATCTGTAGGGGGCTTTAATCGGGTAACTGTTTTCATTTTCACATTCTGTATTTCCACACCTGTACAAACTCAGTGGAAGCATGTAGCATATTTTACTTATTTCCAAATGGAAACAATATCTTGCTTCAACTTTAATGATTCTTCACATGGAGCTTTGTAAGATTACTGAATTTAAAAGGTCTGTTGTTAAGCTGAGGTGTACAGAATTAAGGATTTTTCAGACAAGGAGACAGGACAATAATATTTAATATTATACTTAATATTTGTCATTATTATCTACATTAGCACAGTAGAAAATGAATTCAATAATTTCCACACTTCTCTTTTAACTGCATAGCTAGGGAGGTATTGAACAAATTAATGAAAACTCTGCAAATTATTATTAAGCATCCTGCTCATCAAGTTATCTTCACTACTGGATTCCCAATAAATATTTTATCCTGCATGACCAGGTTACTTCCCAAGGAAAAAAAATAACCCACGAACCAAACCAAACAGTGTTTTGTTTACCTAGGATTCAAGAATTAGCAAAGATACATGTCATACTGCTTTAGAAATGACTTTTCATCAGTGCTTTATTTCAAAGTGAATTGCAATGCCATTTCACTATCCAATAGTCACATAACTGAACTCAATAGGAGTTACGTGCTAGAAGGAAAAATCACAATAAACAGTGCAGAGAAAAATTTGCTTTGGTTTTGTTAACCAAAACTTGGCAACTCTTCATACAAATATACAAGTTTAATTTCAGTAACCATCACTGACTTTGAAGGGGCAGATCAAAATGCCTACTAGTAGGAAGCTATTTTAGATGCTCTTTTTCCTTACATTCCTAAAACAGAATTGTACGGAGCCTGTAAGTGGAATACAGCCCAGACTTGCATCAAAACACAGATTATGAACAAGCTCTGTGTTGGAAGAGACAAGAAGGGCCACTGTCAGAATCTATGAGACCTATTACGTTGTCTGGCAATCAGCAGCCAAAAGTTTAAATACTGAATTCTTCCTGCTGGACTAATTTACTGCCTCTCCAAAGTTTCTTGTTCCGGGCAAAGCTTTTTAAGTCTGGTCAATAAGGGATTTTGCTTGGCATAATGTAAGTAAGACTTTCACAAATATGCTGCTACTCAGGTAAGAAATCTGATATTTTATTTTCTAATAAACAGGGAAGTGCACAAAGCCTTCAGGATATCCTTTGACTTAATGAAAAAAATATACATTATATATGCTCCTCGGTGAAGCTCATCAGCAATAATGCGGGATCTTTTTTTATTAGTTTAAATCTAGGTAGTGTGAGATGATGTAAACTTCTAGTCATGCATCTTAGAGAGTTTAGTGAAATATTGGTGCAGTCTGTTTAAGAGCAGAGTACATATTCGTGCTCTTTAAAAGATGGGTGAGGATTCCAAACTGGAAGCAAATAGCAGTGGCATCACAGGAGAACAGTTGGGAAGCCTCAGTTTAATTTTAGAAGAAAATCTGAACATAATTGATTCCTCTCCATTAAGCAAGAATTTCACAAATACTGTTATAGATTTTCTCCAGGGAACTAGAAGTTTGTATCTTTTATACAGTGTATTCACTTAGATCTAAGTGAGAGTCACCATATGGTTAGGATTCAAAATTTCAATCCAGTAGCCATCGGGATCCTGAACAAATGCAAGTCCTTTCATTTTACCTATTAGGAAAAAAATAGAAGGAACGATGAACACAAGGATAAAGGTAGGGCAGATGAATAAATCTTAACATCAAATGCAGTTACTTTCAATTTTTTTTTTTTCCTTTTGTATGAGTATTAATTCAGCTTTAGACAGCTGCTTCTGAAAACATCCAAATTAGTGTTTGATCACAACTAGGCCTTTGTGTGTGTGCGTGCTGGATTGTTAATCTGATACTTAATAAAGCTGCAATGTAAAGTCATTATGAAATCTTACCTTCTGTTGATTTTTTTTTTAACCCCTGCAAGTGTTCAGCCCGTAATTTTGGAAACGTATTTTTGTGTTCCAGGATGTTTTGGCATGTTTTGCTAAGCTGTTCTGCCTTTTAAAGTTCTTTGTTCCTCAGCCCTGTTCATTTTTGCCTACACAGTAAAGTTCTGTGCTCTACTAGTTTTTATTTGGTTGTTTCCCACTCCCAATCTGGATTACAGTACACATTTGCATTACTATTTGAGATAGAAGTGCAGTGCAGGAATGTTTTAAACAGTTCAAAAAATATTCTTCACGGAAATAGGGTCCCCTAAAGTATTCAACAGTGAATCACAACAGCACAGCTTAACATTTTATCTTAAAGAGTTAGCCAATCAGTTTCCATTTTGCTTACCCTATGACCCTGTCTACTGTAAAAAAAAAAAACAAAAAAAAAAAGTTAATTATTATTACATTCTAGTTACAAAAACTTCTGAGAGAACAGCAGCTGTGATTCACTAATGCAGGGGAAAAAAAAATACCACGAACTTTCTCATCCAGCCCCACAAACAATGGATATTAAATCCAAAACCTCATCATCTTTGACATTTGCTGCACAAGTTTAAATTCCTAACATTGAAAACTGCTTCTGCTTTTTTTTCCCCCTTCTATAAACAGGACAATTCTACACTGTCAGTTTTGTGCATTTTGTAAGAGGGAGCACAGTTAGTAGGTTCTAGCACATCCTAAGGAGTGACAGCTATAGAAATGTATCACTGAGCTGTCCAGTACAAAAATCTACCAGGCACAATATATTAAAAGCAAACAACTGGAAAAGGCAAAAAAAAAAAAAAAAAAAAACGACTTGC